ATAATTTCCTTAATTTAATAATAATTAAAAGTTTTGAAAATATAATAAATATTAAAAATATAATATAAAGGGGAGGGGGGTTCTAGGTAATAATAAAAAATAAGGGAGTTTCGAAAATATAATAAATAATAAAAATATAATATAAAGGGGAGGGGGTTCTAGGTAATAATAAAAAATAAGGGAGGGGGTTGTAATAAATAAAAATATTTTGTTAAGGTAAGTGCATTACCTACGGATTATAATCCGTAGGTAATTCCCGCGAAGGTAATTACCTACGACCAAATTACCTACGGATTTTCTACGGAAAGAAATCCGTAGGTAAAGTGACATTACCTACGGATTTTTGTCATTACCTACGGATTTTACCCGTAGATAATAAGCGTTTTTTTTGTAGTGTGTGTTACAAAATCTTTAGAATATTTAATTTTACAGACTCAAAAATCAACATATGGTTTGCTTGAATTGAAATTTCCTATTATTTTCTAAGATTACGTGAAATTTAGGTAGATTATCCTATTTTTCTATATGAAATTGTTAGATTTTTGAAATCACAATTACAACTTTGTTTCATAATTAAGGTCTCATTTGTTTACTACTAATCAAAGCTTCTAAATAAATATTGAGCTCCTTTTTATTATGTTTTCTATTTGTTTTATTCATGTTTTATTTTACATTTCTTCACAACAGTTCAACATCGATTTCAGGTTAGATTATGAATAATATAAATTCGTTTCCTAATCGATGAAATTCGGATGTTCATAATTAATTAGTTAATAGGAAAATTATTTGACTAAACTTTAATTAATGAGAATTCAATAAGTTATTTGTTATATGATTTTTTATAGATTGATTTGTGTTATGTTAGTCAATTTAAAATCAATTTATTGGGTGTAATTAATCATTAAAAAATAATAGAGAATTAATTTATTTGTTTCATTTTCTTAATTATATATTATTTTGTTGGTATTTTCTTTTCTCGAACCTGTTTTAATTTGGTTTATATTGATACAAATGCCATTATGTTTTGTTGTTAATTTGACGTAAGTATGTGTATGGTAAATTGTTAGTAGTCATGGTTCTATTGAGTTGAATCATGATTAAATGAAATTTTAAAATATAAAATGACTTTAAATATAAAAAATTTTAATTTTTTTTAGTTTGAGTTACTGTAACTTTTTTTTATTCAATTAACTACATAATAAGCATTTAAATTTAAAATTTAAAAGTTTTTTTTATCTAGAAACAATAATATTTCAATTTCATGTTTTATTATAATAATATTATTATGAGCTCATATATTTTATGTTTTTATCTTCAATTTTTAATTATTAAAAAAAGAGAATATATATATATATATATATATATATATATATATATATAAATTATTATTAATTTCAATTCTTAAATGATAAGACTTAACGTATATTGTTAAACTAACTTATGATATATTTAATTTCTTTTTATTTTTAAACTTGTAGCTTAAGTTTAATGTTGTTATAAGCAACTCTAAGTTATTTATCATACGATATTCTAGTTATGTAAATATATTTTCTATTACATTTATAAGTTGTTTCAAGTTTCAGATATTTTTATAAGCTTTTTATGTAATTTTTTATTTGCTTTAAATTCTGGGCACAAACTAAAGTTTAGCAGTGTCACATATTATGGATGAAAGAAAAATTAAATTTTAAGTGCTGATTAGATTAAAACATATTTTAGCATGATACCGTACAATTAATTACTTTATGAACTCTAGGGATATGGGCATAGAGTAGTAAAGGACAATAAGTTGAGGATTGAGCTGGAGGAAAGCCCGGAGGTAGGCCCATTACCACTAAAATTATTTGAACCACAAGGCCATGGCATAATGAGATTCTTGAATTAAAGGTAGTGGTGACCCCAAATATATTTCAACCACAATTGTCATAGAATTTATATTTATCTTATAAAATTATAAATTATGCAGTGACCCAAAAAATAGGATATACCCTAGTGACCCAACTGACCCCTGCAAGAGCAACCAATATATATGCTGGTTCTCAAGATGATGACACCAAGCAAGGGTGCTAAACTCCTACCCACCAACCTATCCATTACTCTCAAATGGGGAACACCTACCCTTGGATATGATTCTTTTGGCTTTTATATATTGCCTGTGTTGTTTTTTAATTAAAATTGAAGTTTTTCCTTGTTTAGGGTAACAAAGTATTTGAATTTTTTATAATATTGCAGATATTAAAGATAAAATTTAAATGGCAATTGACATATGGAATAAAATTGTGTAGTCTGTAACTTTTATAATTAATTTTATATTGTAGATCTTACGGAAAAAAAATATAATAAAGGGATTATACACATTTAAGATTAAGTTATGTAACTCATAATTTTTAATAAATAAAGAATAAAATTAAGTAAATAATGAAAAATATTTAAAATACTTGCATTATGTATCTTTTTAATCTCTTGATTGAAATATTTTTGTGTTTATTTTTCAATCTCATCTCACATAACTTTTGGACAAAGAGGAGTGAATATTTATAAAGATAGTTCCATAATGATATAATAAATACTTAATTAGTAATTAATGAACAATTCATACCTTAAAATTCATCATTTGTGAAAGATTTAATATATCTTTTAATCACAATTCTTGCCTAATGGTTCACCATATAATTTACATTATTTTTATACATGTTTTATTATTTTATTTTAATTTAATTTTTCTATTTTTGCACTATACTTTTCTTAAACTAAAAACATATTTTCACTTAACATATTTACCTTTTATTTTCTCAACCGAGCACATTGATAATAGAAAAATTTAATATACAAGTTTGTTAGGTCAAACTTCAATTATTCATACCCAATAAACACTGTAGAAAATCATTCCTTTGATATTTGTTTAATCCATTTATGACCGTACAACAAGCATCACCCCAACCCACTGGGTGAGCCAGAATGATCAGAGTTGTGCACGAATCTCATTATAAATTGTCTATTTAGCCAAATAAGTGATCAAACAAACAGGTGTCCTGGACTTATGATCAGGACAATAAAATAACATTGAGTATATTCCACTTTTACTTTTCACCTATTAAAATTAGAATTTAATTTCTTATATCTTCACCAAACTGTTTGTACTTAATAATGCTATTTATTATCTGAAAGTTTAGGCATCTATATATTATTATTTGAGTTAATGGGAATGTACTAAAGCAGTTGTATATATATTATGTTCTTTCATATGTATCACATGTTCTAATAAGAAGTGGAAATATGTTTTCTCTCTTTCTTTTCAAAGTTTCATCATCAATTTATAATGTTAATATGAATTTATGATGTTGGCGAATGTTGTTGCTAATGAAAAATATCACATTTATCGTTTTCCTGAATTTTTGAAAATTGAAAGTGTCCTATAATTAATACCTCTCAATATAGTCTTACCTTTTAGAACTCTAAATTACTCTATTCCGCTTTTATAAATACTACTAAGTTTGATGAAAAAGATATTGTTATTCTGTCTTCATAAATTTTTATAAAATATATTTTTTATAACTAATTTGAGTGTGGAAGTATCTTTGTAGACATTTTCACTAGTGTCAAGATCCAATTATTTACCTCTCAAGACATCAAGACATCAAATATTTCATGAAGATCCAACGTAGGTGAACAAAAAATATTAGTATTTAACTTTGGAAGATACATAGTTATTTCATTAAAAAAAACTATTTATAAAGATACATAAAATAAAAATAGTAGCTAATTTATATACTTCAAAAAAATACAAATTTTCTCATTTTAATTTACTCAAAATCAGATTTTTACGTTATGCATAAAGTATAGTTTTAATTTAAAGAAAAATTTATTTCATTTATTTCTTTTTTTCAAAAATAATAATGAATAAATTTATCCACATGCTAACTTTGTTATCTCCCTCGCTTAGTTTATCTTTCAATGCAAATTTGTAACTTAGTTTTGCTCGTTGTATGTGTAAGTTCACACTTTAAGATCTTAAAGTGAGTATTGTGCATTGATTTTACACTATATATAACGTTAGAACATGCCCTGGTTGAAAAATTCGTTAACTAATTGAGGAATGATACGTAATATCGTAATATCACGTTCAAACCTGATTCAAGATTTTAAAATGAATGATACTTTGAATCCTGTATAATAATATTATTATATCTTATATAAGTTCAAAAATACTTTTAATCTTTGATGAAATATTGATATTCTCTGTAATATTGAGATTAAAGTCTTATTGTTTTTCTACTCCTTGTTTCTCAATTAGAGGATTATATTTTAATACATTTATAATCATACTTATATTTATAATCATGCTTAAGAATAATTTATATAACATCATTTATGTTTAACTAATTAAAATATATTTTAAAAATGGATAAAAAATTGAAATAAATAAGTTCCAAAATAGATAATACCTCAAATACAATAATAAATCCTAACGATGTTATTATAACAGATAAAATATTGAAACATTCACATTCTTAGACTGAACAAATATCTCACTTGATCGAAGATATATTTTGGTTTTTAATAAAAAAAAACATTTCTCACCATGTAAATTTTCTAGATTGTTGGTATTCGAAGGATAAACGTATTTAGAAATTACTAACTTCACTCTTTTCTACAACAAAATGGTTTTCCAGGACTGAAATGATGAAATTAAAAGAATTATATATTCACGCGAAGAACTTTATAAAATTATGAATATTTAAGTCAAGGATTCGAACTTGATAATTCATTGGGAACTATTCCTCCATATAAGTACACGCTCTCAGTGGTGGCTTGTAATTGAGTTTGAAGAACAAATGGAAATGTGATTGTCCTTTTGTTAATATTTAAGTCCCTACTTCTAGCCTTGTTCCTCTATATAAAGACCTTTCCTAACCCTAAATCCATACCATCTCCCTCACCAAACCTTTCTCTTCATCTTCTAACCACACTCTTCCTTCTCTCAATCCCCTTTGAGAAACATGGAAAAGAAAGCCCTCAAACTTTGGGTTGTTCTTCTCTTTCTCTCCTATGTTGTATATGCTGCTGCTGTTCCTGCAACCAGTAAGTGTCATTGGATCTGACCCTTTAGGGTTTTGAAGCAGCTTTTTAGTTTATTCATATTTTACATCCAGAATTTAAGGATATATATATATGTTTGAATATGTGTATAGGAATCCCCATGACCAAGAGTGTTGAAGCATTATTGCTTGAAGATCATACTAAGGTGAGGTATCTTCCTCTGTATGTTTCACATGTTCGAATGAAAAGTGGAAATACATAGAAAACATGGCACCAATAATTTACTAACTGTTCCCTCATAATTGAGTCTACATATTAATTCAAAGCAAGTCCCTTTTAGCATATTCATGCTTGTGATTAAAGGACTATATTTTCAGAAAAATTTCTTTAGAAATACTCCTAAAAAACTAAAAGAAAAAAAATGAAATACTTGGATACATGCTAAAAATAAGAATCTAAGGAAAATATATGAGAATTATAGATTTAGTTTAGTTAATGGAAAACCTTTTTTATTTTCCTCCTAAAAACATGTATATATTAGTTGATCAGCTTTACATATATAATCTTATCTGCTTCACTTATAATTTTTTTTATGCCCTCATTACCACCATTTATGAAGACAATAACATTCTCATAATATCTATAGAATCACAAAATAATAGGAGAGGATTATTCCCATTCTTAAAGTTTGACAGATTTTCAACAGCATATAAATTCATTAGACCCCAAACCCTAGGAGAGAAAAACATTAATTCTTAAATATTTTAATCAAATAAGCAAAACCCTAGTAAAAGACTAATATCAAAACCCTAACAAAATCCATATATATATATATATATATATATATATATATATATATAATGCATACCATGTCACAAACATGGCAAAAAAGCTTGTTAGTTTTTTTTTTTTAATTTCATATTTTTAAGTTAAATCTGTCTTATTATTACCATGCGCATTTTTAGAAGATGTTGATGTAGCTTTTCAGCATGAAGAGTTATTTTCTATTGGATATTATTTTCGTAACTAATTTTCTTACATAGTTTTTCGAAATGATAGAGATGAAATGATCAAAGCTAAATTCAAGTTCATAAATTTATAAAGTCAAATCAATGTATGAAAATGATCAGAAAATTAGTTAACTTATATGAAACTGAGTTAATTTGGTATAAGAAAACAAAATGTCTGACGGAATGATTATTTGCCTACTTACCACATAAAATGACTTTTTTATTTTTTTTTTTTTTTTACAGCAACAAAATGAGTTTCTTCAACTATACTAAAATGGTGTTATTAAAAGAATTATATTATTACAATTGGAAGAGTATTTAAGTGATCAAAATAAGGTGACACCACTAAAACTTTTTAAGACTTTTCCTGTAAATGTTGCGTGACTCTTCTAAAATTTATTTAAAAACTTGTGAAAAAAAAAACTTATTTTATATAATATTTTATTGAAAATTTGTGAAAAAAAAATCACACAAAATATAAACAAATCTAATAGTGTGATATGTTTGTAAAATGGGGGAAGAGGGTAAGATAATATTTCTCTAATTCACTTAATAATAATAATAATATTATCTCTTTTTTATTTTCTGATCTAATCTTTGATGTAGATATTTATTCTTAATTTCTTATTACTTATATAATGAATCTTAAATACGAGAGGAAAAAGAAAAATAATTAACCTCCAAAGAATATGTTCATGCTGTCCTAGAAACTTGGAATAATCATTTACTCTTCATTGATATAAGCCAAGAATTTACTAAAAAGGATCCAGATATTTTACTATTTTGTATGCAAATTTACTTCAATTCATGGTCATATTTTTTTATCCGAAGATTCTACGGTTTTGTCCTCACTAGTCTAACATTGTCTAGCTCAAATATTTAAGTTTGGACTATATTTATTAATCACTTTTTTAATGTAATTGATTTTAAGTTGAAATCTATTTTTTTTATGTCAATTAATTTTATGATAAAAATCTAATATAATGTTAGAGTCCTTTTAATTTTGACTATTATAACAAACATCTTAGTTAAAGATATATTATATTTGTCTCAATTATCCTATAAATATAAGAAAAAGTCTCATATTATCTCGATTTTTTAAATATAACTTATATATCTTATGGTCACTTTGCTTAATATACCATTGGTTTTAGATATTCCATTTGGTTTTAGGTTGAAATCTAACTTAAATATATATAATAACTACCGTATTATTGTTCATTCATCATGCCAATGTATGCTCTTTTCCAAGTAAAAAATGGTCATGATCTTCTTCAATTTGCAGGAGGAAAGGAACCAGAAGGAGGTCTTTGAGACGAAGGAAGAAGCTGAAGAGGGAAGAATGATTTTGGATATTGCGGATTACCCTCCAACAGGACCAAATCATTCTCATACCCCAAAATCCCCTGGAAAACCTTAAACTCCATTCTACAAAATTGGAAATTAAGGGCTCTGGTGTGCGTAAGTTAACTTAAAACGTTTTGGATTTACCTGGATTGTCATATATTGAATTTGCTCATGTGTCAGCGTGGTTTGTAATCTATCCTTGTTAAGTGATCACTTTGTATTTAAATGCTTTTATTTATAAGGTTTTGTATGGTTTGGTGCTGTAAGATAAAGGATTGTATTTATACTGTGCGGCAGACTCGAGCTTTTGCTGGTTGATCACAACCGTTTGTAACCTTGATTTCCATAGTGATATGTGAATTAAATTTGGTTTACTTTTTATATCTACTGATATATCCATTTGGAAGTTGGAAGTCAAACAAACCACCTAAAATGAATTGAATTTAAAATTGCACTACGCTTTTATGTTTAGTCCTACTTTATGCTGGGTTAAGGAACCGATAGATATCACGAACAAAAATACAATAAATATTATACAAACATCATCTCCCATGACCAATTTTATAAGATTGAATTAGGAATACATACAGTCGAATTCTTTTCTGTTTGATGGAAGTCGAGAGTAATTCATTGTTGGGTTGCTTAATAAAGAAATAATAAATAAATTGTTAAACTAATATATTATAGTTAATTAGTATTGTATCTTATAAAGACATAATTATAGGAATGTATTCGTTATTATATATAATTCTCTCTAAAAACAATAAATAATAGAATATGGATTAAATGAAAGAATAAAAAAATAAATTGATACAGAATACTAAAAATAAAAATATAATTATTATAGAATATTAATAATAATTAAAATTAAATTAAAATAAAATTTAAATAATTAAAATTTATAAAATTAAAATAAAATGTTTTTAATTAAAAGTGCAAGAATAAAAAATTACTTTAAAACAAAATAGTGTCGTAATTAAAATTAAATTAACACAAAAATTTAAATAATTGAAATTTATAAAATTAAAATAAAATAATTTTAATTAAAAATGCAAGAATAAAAAATTGTTTTAAAATAAAATAGTGCAGTAATTATATTTAAAATTTCTAGAAGAGATAATTCTAAAACTAAATTGAGAATTGGAATTGGAAAAGAGATGAATTGAAAATGAAAGTTAAACAATACTCGGAATAAAATAAAAATTCTAAATAATTAAATAGCATAAATTAAATTAACATTAAATGAATAAAGAAAATAGAACAATATAAACTAAAAAATTCAATAGAAATTAAAAATTAAATAAAAGAAAACAAACTGAAAGTACAACAAGAGATAAATTCGTCTAACTAAAAATTGAGAACAAAAAAGAAAATGGAGATGAGACTAAATAACAACTCATCCTAAAACATGAGATTATGATCGTAGTATCATAAGACCTCTATTTACAAGGGATTGAACAAGAGAAATTAAGCCTAAAATTAATTACAATAAAATCAAATATTTTCTAAATACAAAATTATAAAATTGGATTGCTGTGAAGAAAAGTTTTGGATTGATTTGAAGAAAATAATATGCTTATTTCCTATTTTAAATGATTCAACACCGATTTGCATTTAATTCTTTATTCCTACTGGCCTTTAATTAAGCTAAATTGGATTCCCGCACAAGTTAATTTACTTGATTCAAAATTTTCATTTGTAACATTCTGCAAGTGGGCTATACAAGCAAATTTGGACTTTTGAGAAGAGTAAAACTTGACGATATCAATTCGGACATTTCTTTTTATCGATTTGGCCCATCTCAAATTACCTCTTCTATAAAAAAAGAAGAAGAAATATGCATTGTGAATGTATGCAAGTATATTATTTATTATGTTAAAACTATAAAAAAAATGCAACAAATTAAGAAAAATTGAATTATGATATGTGTTTTATGAAAACACGTTAAATGCATGGTTTATGAAGAAAATAATTAACTTAGAAAATGCTCTTAGATAAAGAAATAAAGAGTAATATGACATACATCAAATACTTCCCACTTTTGCTCTTCTACACTTTCAAGTAAAAGATAAAAGAAAGAAAATAAAAGAATGCATGCATGCAATGCAAAGATGGATATTGTTACAAGCGTTAGTGACATCCTGAAAACTACAATTGTCAAGAAAAACTTCATCAACCTAAAATGAGAGAATAAAAAAGATCAAGATCATAACTGACAAAGTATTGTCATAGTTAAGTACTCCCATACTCATTTCAAGGGAACATTCTCTCGTGGTAAAGTATTTACTCTAATATCTCAAGTGTTTATACTGAAAATTTCACTCATCATCACATTATGACATCATCCTTTACCATAGCTTTGAAAGATCTCTAAATTCCCATCATTAGAACACATACCTCCACAAACTAATAAGACTTTTACTTGGCTTGTAATGGGGTTAGGGTTCAAGGTAGGTTATTTTAGGAAAGTGGGCTAAGACTTTAGGTAAATAAAGAACATGGATCAATGTACGTTGAATCTTTGTTCCAGTTATATCTTTCTATTTTGTCACCTTTATATTAGAGTGCCTTTAGAGCTCTTTTATTGCTTTGACACACATAAACAAAATTATTGGTATCACACAACAAAATGTTTGTGTTAAGACAAAAACCAAGAGGGGGGGGGGGGGGTTGAATTGGTTTCTTAAAAAATTTATCCCTTTTAAAAACTTTTCGCAAGTTTTAACGATTAAACGATAATATAATAAAGCACTTGAAATGTAAAGAGATAAAGGAAGAAGATTACACAAGTAATTTATACTGGTTCAGATCAAAAGTCCCTACGTCCAGTTGTTAATCACTCTAAAAGAGGATTAACTCAGTCACTAAAATAGTAGTTCTTAGATAAATAGATTACAAATAAACAAGGATTAGAAAATACCTCTCTTGAGTCACACAAGAGATGAACACCTCCTTTGAAGCCACAAAGGATGAAGATAACTTTCTGAAGCACTTGGTGGACTTGGTGGATTTGATGAAGACTTAGATATAATTTGATGAAGACATAAATTTAGTTTAGGTTGTGGGTGTGTAGATGATTAGGTTTTTAGCTTGAGCACTTAATCCCTTGATAGGCCATTATATGTTGTGATGAAGCGCCTTAATCTTCGCATAGCATTGAAAATCATTTTCTCGCATTAAAAGAACAAACTAAGTTTTTCAATCTGTTGAAAAAGATTTTCAATCGGTTAAAATCACTTAACGAATAAGTGGTTCTATATAATCGTATTTTCAATTGATTGATTCGCAGAATCAACAAGTTAAAATAACTTAGTAAATTTCTCAATATGAAGGTATCGGAAAAACAATCAATTGAAATACTTTTTAATCTGTTGAAAAAGAAAGATATTTTTCAATCTAAGAGTTTTCGGAAAAACAATCGGTTGAAACGTTTTTCAATCTGTTAAAATAAAGATATTTTTTAAGTCTAAGAGTTTTTAGAAAATCAATCGTTGAAATATTTTTCAATCTGTTGAAACAGAGTGTCGTCATTTTTCATTAAGTTGTTTTAATCCATTAAAACTCGAATCAATCGATTAAATGGAACTTTAAATGAAATCAATCGATTGAATCGATGTCTTAATCGATTAAAAGGAACTTTAAATGAAATCAATTGATTGAATCGATATTTTAATCGATTGAAATAATATTCGATCGATCATACTTCAGTTCTAATCGATCATAACTCGGTCTGATCGATCATACTTCAGTTCTAATCGATCATAACTCGGTCTGATCGATCATACTTCAGTTCTAATCGATCAGAGTCTCTTCTAACCTGTTTTACTGCTAACCAACTTATCTTTTGACTCTCTAAAACAGTTTTTAACAAATGAAACGTTCTGTTTTTCTGATTTACTCTATATATACAGATTTGATCCATCTTTTGAATATACAATACAACACACTACTTGAGAAAACTTGAGAAATCAATCGTGAATCGTTCATCTACGTTTTCTCTCCGCATTCAAGATTTTGTCATATCATAAGGTGCTTTGATCAACATTGTGGTCATTCACGACGAGAGAGTGCTTTAGAATTGGTCTTGGGCAATTAGAATTCAAAGTCCAGGTTTCTTCTTTCCTTATTCTTTTGTATCGTGTGAATTGTGCAGGTTGGATTGTAATCTGCACTTGGTACGATGACTTGGATTTGGTTATCGAGTGTTTTTCAAGATTCTATCTTATAGGTTGAAGAGATAGTTCTTGGTGTAGATTGGTGAGGATCTACGGGTTGTAATTGTTACTTGGTATTAGTGAAAACTTGACAGGTTTGTCAAGAACTGGACGTAGCTCTGGATTAGAGTGAACCGAGTATAAATTTGTGTGTTGATTTCTTTCTATCATCTCTTTTAAATTCTGAATATAATCTTGCTTGTGTTTTAAATCAAATCATCTTTTCAAGAATTGAATAAAGATAACTCATTCTTCCAAAAGAAAGTAAAGTTTTGTGAAAAAGTTTTTTAAGTTCAATTCACCCCCCTCTTGAACTCAACCATTAATTCTTTCAATTGGTACCAGAGCTGGTTCTTGTAAGTTACTCAAGTAATCGGTCCAATGGTCGAGGGAAAGATGAATTTTTCGAAGGAGCCTCCATAAACAGGCCTCCACTTTTTGTCTGGTGTGAATTATTCTTTCCGGAAGGTTAGAATGAAAATCTTTATTGAATCCCTTGATAGAGGTATTTGGGAAACAATTGTTAATGGTCCTTTTAAACCAACTCATATAGTAGATGGTAAAGCTGTTGAGAAAAGTTGGAGTGAGTTGACTGATGCGAGAAAATAGGAGAGTGCAATATGATTATACTTGCAAAGAATATTATTACCTCTGCCTTAAATCTTGATGAGTTTTTCGGGGTGTCTCGAGTGTGCTTACGCCAAAGAGATGTGGGAAATTCTAGAGGTCACACATGAAGGAACATCCGATGTGAAAAGGGCAAGAAAGCATGAGTTAATCGGGGACTATGAGTTGTTTAAAATGCAGCAAGGGGAGACAATTGCGGATGTGCGAAAAGATTCACGCACATAGTTAATCA